AAGGTGTCATTCCCGAAGGTGTCATATCCTAGTGTCATTCCCCAAACATGTCATGTCATTCACCAAATGTGTCATGTCATTCCCCAAACCTGTAATGTCATTCCCCAAATATGTCATGTCATTCCCTAAATGTGTCATGTCATTCCCCAAGCATGTCATTCCCCAAACCTGTCATAATACTAGAAGATTTTGTAACAAACAAAAGACATGCGATTATTAAATCATGTATTCATAATATTTATTTATGTTATTTATTTATGATAATTTTTTTTCTTACCAAACATTTATCATATTATTTAATTATAATATTTATTCATTATATTATTTATTTATAATATTTATTCATTATATTATTTATTTATAATATTTATTCATTATATTATTTATTTATAATATTTATTCATTATACTATTTATTTATAATATTTATTCATTATATTATTTATTTATAATATTTATTCATTATATTATTTATTTATAATATTTATTCATTATATTACTTATTTATAATATTTATTCATTATATTATTTATTTATAATATTTATTCATTATATTATTTATTTATAATATTTATTCATTATATTATTTATTTATAATATTTATTCATTATATTATTTATTTATAATATTTATTCATTATATTATTTATTTATAATAAATTTATTCATTATATTATTTAATTATAATATTTATTCATTATATTATTTGTTTATAATAAATTTATTTCTCACCAAATATTTATATTATTTAATCATAATATTTATTCATTATATTATTTATTTATAATATTTATTCATTATATTATTTATTTATAATATTTATTCATTATATTATTTATTTATAATATTTATTCATTATCTTATTTAATTATAATATTTATTCATTATATTATTTATTTATAATATTTATTCATTATATTATATAATTATAATATTCAATCATTATATTATTTATTTATAATAAATTTATTTCTCACCAAATACTTATATTATTTAATCATAATATTTATTCATTATATTATTTATTTATAATAAATCTATTCCCCAACAAAATATATATTATAATAGATAATATTTATTTATGTTATTTACTTATAATAGATTTCCTCTTCAACAAAATATTTATTATATGATGTGTTTATAATATTTATTTATGTTATTTATTTATTCATGATAGATTTATTCCTCACCAAATATCAATTCATCACCAACTGATAAATATAATGTAGTTATGTTCAGGTGTGTATTGGAGTTATGTTATGTTGTTATGAATTATGTTATAAGTTATGTTATGTTGTGTTATGAGGTATGAGTTATGTTATGTTGAGTTATGTTGTGTTATGAGTTATGATATGAATTATGATTGTTATGAGTTATGTTATGTTGAGTTATGCTGTGTTATGAGTTATGAGTTATGTTATGTTTGAGTATGTTATATTTATTTCGTTAAATTTGTTCCTCACCAAATATTTATTATATTATGTATCTATAATATTTATTTATTATATTTATTTATGTATGATAAATCTATTCATTACCAAACTGATAAACATCTTTTTATGTTATGTTCAGGTTGGAGTTATGTTATGAATTATGTTATGAGTTATGTTATGAGGTATGAGTTATGTTATATTATGAGCTATTTTATGTTATGAGTTATGGTATGTTGTGTTATCCTATGAGTTATGTTATGTTATGAGGTATGAGTTATGTTATATTACGAGTTATGTTGATTATTGAGTTATGAGTTATGTTATGTTATGAGGTATGAGTTATGTTATATTACGAGTTATGTTGATTATTGAGTTATGAGTTATGTCATGTTCTGATATTTATTTCGTGGTGCATTAGAGAGAATTTGGGGGGGAGGGAATATTATTTTCTTTCACTTTATTTTATTTTGAAAATATAATTTTTTTTTTTCTTTTTTTTGTTAGTGAGTAAAGGAAAACAGTATTTGGTCCATAAAAGTTATTCTAGAAGATTAAGCTAATTATTGGTTATTTTCAATTTGTATTTTCACATTGCTCTTATAAGCTATTAAAGTTGTATTTTTTCATTGATTTTTTTTTCTTTTCATTTGATCATCAAAAAAAAAAAAAAATTCACCTGTATATGAATTGAATTTTTCATTTACAACTGGTGCATCATTTAAAAAAAAAAAATAAAAAACTGCCATAAAAAGGCACTTAAACAATTTAATTATGAAACATGACAACCATAACTCTTAAAAAAAAGTGTTCAAAATAGACATTAATTCTTGTCCAATAATTATCAAGGGAAAGACAGGAGTCTTGCTTCATGGAGTTACGTGCCCGAGTTTTTTTTTTTTTTTTTTTTTTTTTCTCTCTCTCTCTCTGGGCAAAGGTATATCTACAGACCTCGTAAAAATAATGCCCATGATCTTTACGTACACTAAAGTATTCAGTGTGTTTATATAATCTGTATATATATATATACACATATATAATTGTATGTATGTACATATATATTTACATATATGTATATATAAATATATATCATCAAGGGGGCTAACGCCGACAGGGGCGCATGGCCCGTTCACTTCCAGCCACGAGGGTCCCTCATGACAAGTATCCAGGGAGGCCCTCAGCCCATCTCTAACTCCTCGCTTCAGGTCTCGTCGAGCTGCCCAAGCCACAGCCTCCTAGGCCATCCCACAGGCCTCTTCCACCCAGGGTCATCCACAGGGAAACGAGCTAGGTGCCCATGTAGCCCGAGTTGGCGATCCTGGATTATGCAAAGAACAGGTCCCACGTCAGTCTCAAGGTGTAGCCGTCCTCTAGAACTGCCGAGGTCTGTGGAAATGATCATAGATTAGTTGTGGCAACTATCCAAGTCCACTTCAGGAACTCCAGTTGTTTCAGTGCACACCCCAGAGTGTTTCATATGGACAGATTGAGGGAGGGGGAGTGTGCCCGGGAGTTTCATAGCACTTATTAGCACTTATTAACACTATTACTCTGGTCTGCTCAGCAAGTGGCCAGATAATCTCAGATCCTGTTGGTATTTTGAGTAGTCATAGCTGGTTGATATACCAACAGTAAACTTGGATGCAGTAGTGTTGAGATTCCTTTGCCAGACCACATACATATATATATATATATATATATATATATATATATATATATATATGTATGTTTATATACATACATATACATATATATGAATGTTTAGATTGTCTGGTGCAACAGGTAGAGTGAGGAGGAGAGTAAGGCACCAGGAAGTGAGAGAGATTCGAGTAACTTTAACATATACATATATATGAATGTTTAGATTGTCTGGTGCAACAGGTAGAGAGAGTGAGGTGGATAGTTAAGCACCAGGAAGTGATAGAGATTCGAGTATCTGTATTTATTAGACTGGAAAAGGAATTTGCACATTGAAGGGTTATGACCAGGTTGGGCACATAAAGAGCATCAGGCTATGGAGCAAGTGTTTTGGCTGAGTGGACAATATGCCAGCATTTCTGACACTGACAGGGAAAAGAACAATAAGATTCAGATTGAGCAGGACACTCCACCAATATAAGCGTCAAGGGAGAGGTCATGTCTGTAAAAGCTAATCTTGGGCAACATTAGCATAGAACTTACATTGGGAGGAATATATGTATGTATTTACAAATATCTATCGTATGTATGTATTTACAAATATGTATTTACAAATATGTATGTATTTACAAATATGTATGTATTTACAAATATCTATCGTATGTATGTATTTACAAATATGTATGTATTTACAAATATCTATCGTATGTATGTATTTACAAATATGTATGTATTTACAAATATATAGAGTAGAACTTACATTGGGAGGAATATATGTATGTATTTACAAATATCTATCGTATGTATTGACAAATATGTATGTATTTACAAATATGTAGCGTAGAACTTACATTGGGAGGAATATATGTATTTTCAAATATCTATCATATGTATGTATTTACAAATATGTATTTACAAATATATTGCGTAGAACTTACATTGGGAGGAATATATGTATTTACAAATATCTATCTGTATATATGTATGTCTCTGAGTATATATATGTATGTAATACTTACATATATATATACTGCAAGTCAATGAGGCAGGCAAGCAAGTCATTTTTCATAGTCTAACCGGTCCTTGTAGACAGGACAGTCAGTCAGGGCAGTGAAAAGAAACTGCCTACCTACTTTTGGAGCATATTTGGAAGAGAAGAACGAGTATGGGATATTAATACAAGTGATAATAATGACTAATATTTTACAGGGTGAGAATGGAAACGAGGAATATGCAAATCAACAGCATTTATTTTTTTATTCGCTTATTGCAAATTAAAGTTACATTTTCCTTTGTTTTGTCAAATAATATTAATACCCTGTCGTGTCATTTCAGTGTTAACATTTGTTCTGTTACATACATATAAACATACACATGTATACATATATACATACTCATATACATATATATGAAGACATATATATATTCATCAATTAATAAATGTATGTGTGTGCATGTGTATATAAAAGTAATTATATACATAATTTTATACATATATACATACACATATATGTATTAAATACATATATACTCACAGACATACACATATATACAGATAGATATTTGTAAATATATATTACATATATGTGTATATATATTTGGACTGTAATTGGTTCCATGACTCATATCAATTAAATCTTCACTAGAAATACACACACACACACATATGTATATATACAGTGAGGTTATATTTGAATATATATAGTGTTAAAGAAAGACTAATGAATAGAAATATAAAAAGACAATAAACAGTTATCAACATAGATAAAATGTTCTATAAAAATAACATTAATAAAAATAGACATTTACTTCAACACATATTTTGTTTCCTCTTGTATTACAACAATAAAATCGTGGTTGAAGCTAAAACACTCTTTTTAACCCATTCATGCCGGGTGTCACATATACATGACATGCCCACAGTAAGTTTACACTTGTACCCTTTTCTTTAATTCACGAAAATATTTTACTTAATCTTATTTTGCTGTTGCTAATGTTCATAACTTAGTAATGTAACTGTAGTAATTATAATGTTTATAATAAAAATAACCATAGATATTCGTAGCGCTAGTAAAAATTACATTTTCCCGCCAAATGAAATCAGGTAAGGCAGAGCCATCTATGTGTAAAGACATTTCACAAAAAAGTACAGCATTTTCCCCCATTTTTTGTTCATTTTTTACCCCGGCGCGAATGGGTTAAAATAGCCAACAACTTCTAGTCACCATATCAAGGAGACAGAGGAGAAGCTTCCCTAAAAGCTATGATCAAGTAGTAGCTGTTTTTTGACTCCTCTTGACCAGTGACACGAGCTTATCTAAATTCTATAGAGACTTTAATACAAGTCACAAAGCATAAAAGTTTAGGGTTAAAAAGAATTGAAAATTATGAATATTGGGTATAATATATATAATAAGATAGGCTCCTCCAAAATTTAGGATAATTCTTCCCTATTTATGTCAAGACAAAGTGCATTCCCTCTAGTTGAAATATATTACATGACTCGTGACTTTTATGTACAAAAATGTATAGACTGAAAGTTATTGCAAATCCTATAGCTGTTAAGCATCTCTTTTATATGTACTCTTATATGTGGCCTTCTATGTACAAAAATGTATAGGCTAACAGTTATTGTAAATCCTATAGCTGTTAAGCATCTCTTTTATATGTACTCTTATATGTGGCCTTCTGTGTTGTATGTACTCTCATGCACTTCACCATAAATCCATTTCCATGAAAATGCACTATTGCAAATCTGGCTTCTCCTTTCTATGTATTCTAACATGCCTTACTAGCTTACTTTTCTGAGAGAAGGCCTTACTGCAGATCTCACAAGTGTGAGGTTTCTCTCCTGTATGTACTCTCATATGACTGACTACGTGACTCTTCACATAGTAGGCCTTACCGCAAATCTCACAGCCATAGGGCTTCTCCTCGCTATGGACTCTCACGTGGATCTTTAGACTACTCTTATATGAAAACGCCTTGTCACAAATTTCACAGGAGTATGGCTTCTCTCTTGTATGGGCTCTCATGTGGCTTCCTAGGCGATTCCTGTGCAAAAAGCCCTTGTTGCAGATGTCGCATTTGTAGGGCTTCTCCTGTGTATGTAGTTTCGTGTGGCTCACTAGATTAGCTCTGTGCGAAAAGCTCTTGTCGCAGATCTCACAGGAGTATGGCTTTTCCTTTGTATGGACTCTCCTATGGATCACTAGGCTGGATCTCTCTGAAAAGTCCTTGTTGCAAATTTCACAAACGTAGGGCTTTTCCTTTGTATGGACTCTGATGTGTGCTAGTAGGTGACCTTTCTCGGAAAAGCCCCTGCTGCAAATCTCGCAGACGTGCGGCTTTTCCTTCGTATGTACTCTCATGTGCCTCGCCAGATTACTCTTCCATGAGAAGGCGTTGTTGCAAATCTCGCAGTTATAGGGCTTTTCTTTCGTATGGACTCTGATGTGCTTTGCAAGAAGACCTCTATCGGCAAAGCCCTTGTTGCAAATCTCGCAGATGTGCGGCTTTTCCTTTGTATGTATTGTCATGTGCCTCACAAGATTATTCTTCCGCGAAAAGGCATTGTTGCAAAATTCGCAGTTGTATGGCTTCTCTCTCGTATGTACTCTAGTGTGCGTTAGAAGATGGCTGCTCTTGGAAAACGTCTTGTTGCAAATCTCGCAGGTATGTGGCTTCTTCCTTATACACGCTCTCGTGCACTCCCCGAGATCGTGTTTCCGCGAGAAGACTTCATTACGAAATTTGCAGCTATAGGGCTTCTCCTCTGTACACAATACGTGGTTCAAAAAGCTAGATTTATGCGAAAAAGTCTCTTCCTCCTTCGGCCTTTCCTCGTACATCCCTCGGTCCCCATCCCCCCCATCCCCCTCCCCATCTCCCCCATCCCCCTCCCCATCCCTCAATCCCCCACAGTCCTCGGCCACCAACGGCACCTTTAACGCGTCTCTTAACGCCTCGTCGCGACCCCGAGCCAAGTTCCACGAGTCTCTTGCTTCTGCTTCGCGTCTTGGATCGCAAAAATCGTGAAAATGACACTCTTGCGTCGCCTTCGTGTCACGCCCTTCGTCTCTCGCCTCGTCTCCGTAATCGAGAGGTTCCTCCTTAACCTCGAGCCATGTCTCCTCCGTGACGTCTTCCTTGACTCTTTCCTTGACGCCTAGACGCCATCCCTCCTTGACGCCTTCGCTCGACTCTTCCTTGACGCCTTCGCTCGACTCCTCCATAACGCCTACGCTCGACTCCTCCATAACGCCTACGCTCGACTCTTCCTTGACACCTTCACTCAACTCCTCCTTGACACCTTCACTCAACTCCTCCTTGACGCCTTCCTTGACGCCTTGACGCCATCCCTCCTTGACGCCTTCCTTGACGCCTTCGCTCGACTCTTCCTTGACGCCGACTCCTGTGCCGAACATTTCCTCGCTCGTCAGGGGAGCCGAAGCCATCCTGTCGGAGGGGTAGCTCGTCGTCACCTATGAACGGAAAAATGGAACGGGAAATAACGGAAATAACAGAACAGAAATAACAGACTGCGTCAATTGTCATAGAACGTCCCATTGAACAGAAAATAACAAAAAATATTAGAACAGAAAAGAACAGAAAATAATAGAAAAGAACAGAAAAGAACAGAACAGAAAAGAACAGAAAATTACAGAACAGAAAAGAACAGAAAATAATAGAACAGAAAAGAACAGAAAATAACAAAAAATATTAGAACAGAAAAGAACGGAAAAGAACAGAACAGAAAAGAACAGAAAATAATAGAAAATTATAGAATGGAAAAGAACAGAAAATAACAGAAAATAACAGAAAATAACAGAAAATAATAGAACAGAAAATTACAGAAAATAACAGAACAGAAAATAACAGAAAATTATAGAATGGAAAAGAACAGAAAAGAACAGAACAGAAAAGAACGGAAAATAACAGGACAGAAAATAATAGAACAGAAAATTACAGAACAGAAAAGAACAGACAGAAAATAACAGAACAGAAAAGAACAGAAAATAACAGACCAGAAAAGAACGGAAAATAACAGAAATAATAGAACAGAAAAGAACAGAAAATAACAGAACAGAAAAAGACAGAAAATAATAGAACAGAAAAGAACAGAAAATAATAGAACGGAAAAAAGAACAGAAATAACAGAACGGAAAAGAACGGAAAAGAACAGAACAGAACAGAAAATAATAGAACAGAAAATAATAGAACAGAAAAGGAACAGAAAATAATAGAACAAAAAAGAGCAGAAAATAACAGAACAGAAAAGAACGGAAAATAATAGAACAGAAAAGAACAGAAAATAACAGAAAATAACAGAACAGAAGAGAACAGAAAAGAACAGAAAATAATAGAACAGAAAAGAACAGAAAATAATAGAACAGAAAATAACAGAAAATAATAGACAGAAAAAACAGAAAAGAGCAAAATAATAAGAACGAAAGAACAAAAATACAGAACAGAAAATAACAGAAAAATTACAAAAAATAATAGCACAGAAAAGAACAAAAAATATAGAACAGAAAATACAGAAATAATAGAACAGAAAAGAACAAGAAAATAATAGAACAAGAAAGGGAACAGAACATAATAGAACAGAAAAATAACCAAAAATATTAGAACAGAAAAGAACGAAAATAATGAAAAGACCAGAAAAGACAAACGGAAAAAGAACAGAACAGAACAGAAAATTAAGGAAAAGAACAGATAATAACAGAACAGAAAATAACGGAAATACGGGAAAAGAACAGAAGAATACTAGAACAGAAAATAACAGAATAATAACAGAACGAAAAAGACGAAAATGACCAGAAAAACTAATAGAACAGAAAAGAACAGAAAATAATAGAACATAAAATACAGAAAATAATAGTAAGCAGAAGAACGGACAAGAACAGAACAGAAAAGAACAGACAAATAGTAAACAGAAAAATAATAGAACAGAAAAGAACATATAATAATAGAACGGAAAAGAACAGAACATAATAAACAGGAATATATAGAACGAAAAGAACAGTAAAAGAACAGAAAATAACGGGGAAAACAGAACAGAAAAGACAGAAAATAATAACCAGACAATGACAGAAAAATAACAGAACAGAAAATAACAGAAAATAACATAACAGAAAATAACATTAAAATTATAGAACAGAAAATAACAGAAAATAACAGAACAGAAAGAACAGAAAATAATAGAAAGAAAGGAACGGGAAACGAACAGAAAATCAACGAAAATAATAGAACAGAAAAGACAGAAAAGACAGAAAATATAGACCAGAAAAGAACAGAAAAGAAACAGATAATAATAGAAAATAATATAGAACAGAAAATATAGAACAGAAAATAACAGAAAATAATAGAACAGAAATTCATAGAACAGAAAAGACAGAAAAAGAACAGGAAAATAACAAAAAATATTAGAACAGAAAATAACAAAAAATATTAGAACAGAAAATAACAGAAAATAACAGAACAGAAAAGAACAGAAAATAATAGAACAGAAAAGAACGGAAAAGAACAGAAAATAACAGAAAATAATAGAACAGAAAAGAACAGAAAAGAACAGAAAATAATAGAACAGAAAAGAACAGAAAAGAACAGAAAATAATAGAAAATAATAGAACAGAAAATAATAGAACAAGAAAATAACAGAAAATAATAGAACAGAAAATAATAGAACAGAAAAGAACAGAAAAGAACAGAAAATAATAGAACAGAAAAGAACAGAAAAGAAAAGAACGGAAAAGAACAGAAAATAACAGAAAATAATAGAACAGAAAATTACAGAACAGAAAAGAACAGAACAGAAAATAACAGAACAGAAAAGAACAGAAAATAACAGAACAGAAAAGAACGGAAAATAACAGAAAATAATAGAACAGAAAAGAACAGAAAATAACAGAACAGAAAAGAACAGAAAATAATAGAACAGAAAAGAACAGAAAATAATAGAACGGAAAAGAACAGGAAATAACAGAACGGAAAAGAACGGAAAAGAACAGAACAGAACAGAAAATAATAGAACAGAAAATAATAGAACAGAAAAGAACAGAAAATAATAGAACAAAAAAGAGCAGAAAATAACAGAACAGAAAAGAACGGAAAATAATAGAACAGAAAAGAACAGAAAATAACAGAAAATAACAGAACAGAAGAGAACAGAAAAGAACAGAAAATAATAGAACAGAAAAGAACAGAAAATAATAGAACAGAAAATAACAGAAAATAATAGAACAGAAAAGAACAGAAAAGAGCAGAAAATAATAGAACAGAAAAGAACAGAAAATAACAGAACAGAAAATAACAGAAAATAACAAAAAATAATAGCACAGAAAAGAACAAAAAATAATAGAACAGAAAAGAACAGAAAATAATAGAACAGAAAAGAACAGAAAATAATAGAACAGAAAGGAACAGAAAATAATAGAACAGAAAATAACAAAAATATTAGAACAGAAAAGAACAGAAAATAATAGAAAAGAACAGAAAAGAACAGAACGGAAAAGAACAGAACAGAACAGAAAATAAAGGAAAAGAACAGAAAATAACAGAACAGAAAATAACGGAAAAGAACGGAAAAGAACAGAAAATAATAGAACAGAAAATAACAGAAAATAAAAGAACAGAAAAGAACAGAAAAGAACAGAAAAATAATAGAACAGAAAAGAACAGAAAATAATAGAACAGAAAATAACAGAAAATAATAGAACAGAAAAGAACGGAAAAGAACAGAACAGAAAAGAACAGAAAATAATAGAACAGAAAAATAATAGAACAGAAAAGAACAGAAAATAATAGAACAGAAAAATAACAGAAAATAACAGAAAATAACAGAAATAACAGAACAGAAAATAACAGAAAATAACAGAAAATTATAGAATGGAAAAGAACAGAAAAGAACAGAAAATAACAAAAAATATTAGAACAGAAAATAACAAAAAATATTAGAACAGAAAATAACAGAAAATAACAGAACAGAAAAGAACAGAAAATAATAGAACAGAAAAGAACAGAAAAGAACAGAAAATACAGAAAATAATAGAACAGAAAAGAACGGAAAAGAACAGAAAATAATAGAACAGAAAAGAACAGAAAAGAACAGAAAATAATAGAAAATAATAGAACAGAAAATAATAGAACAGAAAATAACAGAAAATAATAGAACAGAAAATAATAGAACAGAAAAGAACAGAAAAGAACAGAAAATAATAGAACAGAAAAGAACAGAAAAGAACAGAACGGAAAAGAACGGAAAATAACAGAAAATAATAGAACAGAAAATTACAGAACAGAAAAGAACAGAACAGAAAATAACAGAACAGAAAAGAACAGAAAATAACAGAACAGAAAAGAACGGAAAATAACAGAAAATAATAGAACAGAAAAGAACAGAAAATAACAGAACAGAAAAGAACAGAAAATAATAGAACAGAAAAGAACAGAAAATAATAGAACGGAAAAGAACAGGAAATAACAGAACGGAAAAGAACGGAAAAGAACAGAACAGAACAGAAAATAATAGAACAGAAAATAATAGAACAGAAAAGAACAGAAAATAATAGAACAAAAAAGAGCAGAAAATAACAGAACAGAAAAGAACGGAAAATAATAGAACAGAAAAGAACAGAAAATAACAGAAAATAACAGAACAGAAGAGAACAGAAAAGAACAGAAAATAATAGAACAGAAAAGAACAGAAAATAATAGAACAGAAAATAACAGAAAATAATAGAACAGAAAAGAACAGAAAAGAGCAGAAAATAATAGAACAGAAAAGAACAGAAAATAACAGAACAGAAAATAACAGAAAATAACAAAAAATAATAGCACAGAAAAGAACAAAAAATAATAGAACAGAAAAGAACAGAAAATAATAGAACAGAAAAGAACAGAAAATAATAGAACAGAAAGGAACAGAAAATAATAGAACAGAAAATAACAAAAAATATTAGAACAGAAAAGAACAGAAAATAATAGAAAAGAACAGAAAAGAACAGAACGGAAAAGAACAGAACAGAACAGAAAATAAAGGAAAAGAACAGAAAATAACAGAACAGAAAATAACGGAAAAGAACGGAAAAGAACAGAAAATAATAGAACAGAAAATAACAGAAAATAACAGAACAGAAAAGAACAGAAAAGAACAGAAAAATAATAGAACAGAAAAGAACAGAAAATAATAGAACAGAAAATAACAGAAAATAATAGAACAGAAAAGAACGGAAAAGAACAGAACAGAAAAGAACAGAAAATAATAGAACAGAAAAATAATAGAACAGAAAAGAACAGAAAATAATAGAACAGAAAAGAACAGAAAATAATAGAACAGAAAATAATAGAACAGAAAAGAACAGAAAAGAACAGAAAAGAACAGAACAGAAAAGAACAGAAAATAATAGAACAGAAAAGAACAGAAAATAACAGAACAGAAAAGAACAGAAAATAACAGAACAGAAAATAACAGAAAATTATA